AGATGGGAGCTGCATTGGGAATTCAAGCCGCTGTAACCAGTTCATCGATTGCGAGGATGCTTCGGATGAAATGAACTGCAGTGAGTGCCCCGGCTGCTGTCCCGTGTTTCCTGCTGCCTCCCCAGCTCTGCCCTGCTCTAGCTCTGGAGATGCTCCTGCCCTCTGTGCCTGCGGGTGGGGGCCTGGCTCCCTGCACCTCCTTTCAGTCTTTGGGACTTGTGCTGAATCAGGGAGGGAGAAGGGCCCTGGCTCCCATCCTGTCAGCGGAGGCCAGCCCTGGTTTACTCGCCGGCTGGAAGCAACCCCGTCCCATCACGGTGTGGAGGGATGCAGTGCTTGGCACCTCACCACTGTCGGAAGCGCTTAACGTGGTCCCAGCAGCTCGGGGCACATGTGGGGCAGAGTCAGCTCGGTGCTGCTCTGGAGAGGGGAAGGGCTGTGAGCAGCAGGGCGAGGGCTCGTGCTGTACGGTGGGAGCTTGTCCAAAGGGCTGTGCCACCAGCAAACAGCGCCCGTCACCTGGGGCTCCTGGTGTGGTTCCTTGCAGCCGCCACCGACTGCAGCAGCTATTTCAAGCTGGGGGTGAAGGGTACCACGTTCCAGAAGTGCGAACATACTTCTCTGTGCTACGCTCCGAGCTGGGTGTGCGATGGGGCAAATGACTGCGGAGACTACTCGGACGAGCGCAACTGCCCGGGTGAGAGCGGGGAGAGGAAAGGGGGCTCGGGCCTGGGAGAGCGGGGCATCGCGCCGGCCCTCGAGCCAGGTGCTCCCCTTTGAGAGCTGTTTGGGCGGCGGATGCTTTGTTTGCACACCAGGACCATCGTCCTTTGCCTGCGCAGCTCCTGCAGGGAGGGTGCTGCAGGTGCTGATCGATGCGGGATCACAGAGGGCTTTTGGGGAGGAATCCTGCAAAGTCGGGCAGTTCTGGGTTATGAGGAGGCAGGATGTGTCTGTGCCACCACCCTTACGGACGTTTCCTTCACAAACCAGGCGGGAGGAAACCCAAGTGTCCAGCCAATTACTTCGCCTGCCCAAGCGGGAGATGCATCCCCATGACCTGGACCTGTGACAAAGAGGATGACTGCGAGAACGGAGAAGACGAGACTCACTGCAGTGAGCGGCAGGGTGGGGAGAGCAAGGGACTCCAGGGTGATAGCACGGGGTGGCGAGTACAAGCATGCTGGAGGGGAGGCAGGACCCTCTCCTCTCACGGACATCCTTTTGCAAAGGACAGACTCGATTCTTCCCCCTCTGTGGTCTTATTCTACAAGCTCGGGCTTTTAACTGTGACCAATGCAAATGTCCTTGTGCATTTGTTTGCTCAGCACGTGCACGAGTGTCCGTGGTCATTTTGAAGGTGGCCAGTTTCGGCTCACTTGCGTTATGTTTTTAGTTCCAACCTCCTGAACAAACCCCGAACGGTGCTCAGGAACTGGGGAACCTCCCCGGCTCCAGAGCAGGGAACCCCACAGCAGTCCTACAGCTGCAGGCATGTGGGCACTGCCAGGTCTGGGCGAGCAGTAGCCCCAGCACCACCCTGGGCTCCAGCCCTGGAGCCCGGCTGGCCCAGCCTGGCTGTGCCTTGGTGCCGTGTCCTTCCCCCCGCATCGCCCCAGTGCTGATGCCTCCTCTTCTCCTCTCCCAGACAAGTTCTGCTACCCCGTGCAGTTTGAGTGCAACAACCACCGCTGCATCTCCAAGCTCTGGGTGTGTGACGGGGCAGATGCCTGCGGGGACGGCTCTGATGAGGACAGCCGCTGCCGTGAGTCTGCTCCGGCCCCTGCTCTGACATCTCTCGGTCCCTGCCTGTGCTGCTGCTCCACCTCTGTGTATTCCTGCCTCTGCCCACCCCTTCTCCCACCCTTGCTTTCCTGTGCCATGCTTCTCACTGCTCTCCTGGGTTCTCTATCTTGGGGTCCCCCTGAGACGTGGAGGCATGTAGCCCAAGAGTGCTGGTTCTCCAGCAGTGGGAGTGACTGGCCTCCTTCCTGCTTCTCCCTTCCTCAGGGCTGACCACCTGCAGCGCGGGATCCTTCCAGTGCCCGGGCACCTACGTGTGCGTGCCGGAGCGCTGGCTCTGTGATGGAGACAAGGACTGTGCAGATGGAGCTGACGAGACCCTCGCTGCCGGCTGCTGTGAGTCCCCTGAGGGCTGGGTGCATGGTGGGGCTGGGGGCTGGAGCGGAGTGGAGTGGAGTGCAGGTAGAGCTGCTGGGGGGTGGGGGGGTGGTGTCTAGTCCTGCTCCCCGGGGTCCCTGTTGGTAGCAGATAGGACGCCCCTTCCTGGCCACTTCCCTGCCAGGCTTGCAGGAGGAAACTGCAGCACTGTGATCACAGCAGACCTGGACACAGGAACATTTGGGTGCCTCTCCCTGACTGAGGAGAGGAGGAGCATTGGCTGGAGGGGCAATAGCCACAGGCACCCTGTTGCCCAGGTGCTGTTCACAGCCACAGGACAAGGGCACGGGCCTGAGCTCAGGCTGGGGGCAAAGGGGTGGGAGTCCCTGCCCCGACTGGGCTGTGCCTCAGCTCTTGTCCCCAGCACCCCAAGTTGAAGGGCTTGGGGGGCAGGCAGGGGAGCATGCGGTCTGGCAGGGGGCTGACAGCAGTGCCTCGTTGCAGTGTACAACAACACCTGCGACGAGCGGGAGTTCATGTGCGGAAACCGCCAGTGCATTCCCAAGCACTTCGTCTGCGACCATGATGACGACTGTGGCGATGGCTCAGATGAGTCCCCAGAGTGTGGTGGGTGTCCATGGGACCGGGGAGGACAGTAAGGGCTGTATCTCCTGTAGCACTGGCCCTGGCAGCCACACTGGGTCTCCTGGGCTTTGAGACGGGACCCTGGAAGGGTCTTCATCCCCCAGAAGGGGTTTGATGTGAGAGCAGGGTGAGGGGGAACCAGGAGAGGCAGCGGGAGGGATTCGGTGCTGGAGAGCCACAGGAGAGCTGTCCCCCCCAGCCCCACTGCGGGGCGTCCGCCCTGGCACTGAGCCGTTCTGGAGAGATCCAAAACCACCCTTGGCCCCTGCGGTGCAGCCCTGTCCCGAGGCGAGCTGCAGGGAGGTTTGGGCACCTGTGCCATGGCCGTGTGCAGCCCAGCCGCCACGGTGCCCCCGTCGCTCCTAAAAAAAGGGCCCGCCCCGTCTGCCCCGCCCCCCCCCCGCAGAGTCCCCCCCCTGCGGCCCTCACGAGTTCCGCTGTGCCAACGGCCGCTGCCTCAGCAACCGGCAGTGGGAGTGCGATGGCGAGTTCGACTGCCCCGACCACTCGGATGAGGCACCCAAGAACCCGCGCTGCACCAGCCCAGGTACCTGTGGGGACCGTGGCTGGGGTCGGGGCCACCCGGCTGCCTCACGCTGACCACTGCCGGCTCTTCTCCGCCCCGCTGCAGAGGGCAAGTGCAACGACTCGTTCTTCCTCTGCAAGAATGGCAAGTGCATCCCGGAGGCGTTGCTTTGCGACAACAACGACGACTGCACGGACGGCTCGGATGAGCTCAACTGCTTCATCAACGAGTGTCTCAACAAGAAGCTGAGCGGCTGTTCCCAGGAGTGCGAGGACCTCAAGATTGGATACAAGGTAGGGGCCCACAGGCTGGGCGGGCCGGCTGGAGGGATGCTCTCCCGCTCCCTTCCTCCTCCGGACACACTCGGCATGAGGGTTGCTTCTGTCCTGTGCCAGCTGGGCCACGGATGCACACACGGCCACTTTTGGCCCGCACTTGTGTGTGCTGTCTTGTGTCTGCGAGCTGTCTGTGCCTGAGCCCGCTTGTCCTATGGTGATGCCTGTCACGTCCCAGCGTGCGGGCCCTGGATATGTCTAACAGCTCTGGGTTGCCTCCTGCAGTGTAGATGCCGTCCTGGGTTCCGGCTGAAGGACGACGGGAAGACGTGCATTGACATCGATGAGTGCTCCACCACCTACCCCTGCAGCCAGAAGTGCATCAACACTCTGGGGAGCTACAAGTGCCTGTGCACAGAGGGCTACAAGCTCAAACCTGACAACCCCACCAGCTGTAAAGCTGTCACAGGTGAGAGCCAAGAGCAGGCACAGAGGCAGGGGTGCTCTTCTCGTGACCATGGGATGCTGCCGGCATTGGAGTCGGTCACAGTGCTCTGCAAGGTGACGTAGCTGCGCCTGACTCATGAAGGAGAGCTGGGAAGCACTGGGGCAGGGAGGACAGCAGGTCCGCAGCGGACCTACCCACGTCCCAGCGACACTTCCTTACACATCTCGTGGTTTCCCTGTGCAGATGAAGAGCCCTTCCTCATCTTTGCCAACCGGTACTACCTGAGGAAGCTCAACTTGGATGGCTCCAACTACACACTGCTCAAGCAGGTGCGGGCGGAGCTGGGAGCAGGAGGGGGCAGGTTTGGGGTTGGAGAGCGGCCCTGCAGGGCACAAGACCTGCCAGCCTGGGAGTTTGGGCTCTTGGCTTCTCGGGCAGGTGGTAGATCCTGTATAGAGAACAGCTCTCGCTAGGAGTGTACAGGAGGTCCTGTGTAAACAGTAGCTCTTTGGTAGCAGACTGGTAGGGGCTGCACCACGGTTGTCTGTAGGTGCTTTTAACTCCTCTGCTGCAGGGACCGGGACTTGAGGCTGGGGCCTCACTGGTTTTTATAAAGCCCCCACGACCCTGTGCGAGCAGATGAGGCTGTTTGAACGCTTCTCCCTTCCTCCCAGGGGCTGAACAACGCAGTGGCTCTGGATTTCGACTATCGGGAGCAGATGATCTACTGGACAGATGTCACCACGCAGGGCAGCATGATCCGCCGCATGCACATCAACGGGAGCAACGTTCAGGTGGGGGACTGAGGCAGCCCCTTGGGCACCCCCGGTGCGGGCAGCTGGTCCTTGCCCGCCTCCTGCACAGAGAGCCTGCCTGGAGGGTCCCAGACTGGCACCAGGGCCACAGAGGAAGAGGGCACAAGCCCCGCTGTGGAGTCATCACTGGGCTCAGGGCATCAGGCCGTGCTGCTACAGGGATGTTTTGCAGCACCACCCCCATCAGAGGTGGGCTCCATGCTGTCCAAAAGCAGTGGGCAAGGAGGGTTGAGGGGAGAGAGGAGTGAGGAAAGGGAGCTGGGCAGGACCGTCTGCAGGGTCGATGTGCCAGGGAAGGGGGATGTTGTCATCCCTGAGGGACCAGGGCAGGATCTGGTTCTCCCTGTCCAGCCCAAATACCTCTGTTTTCTCCCAACAGGTTCTTCACCGCACTGGCCTCAGCAACCCCGACGGGCTGGCTGTGGACTGGGTGGGAGGCAACCTGTACTGGTGCGACAAAGGTCGGGACACCATCGAAGTGTCGAAGCTCAACGGCGCCTACCGCACTGTGCTGGTGAACTCAGGCCTGCGTGAGCCCCGGGCGCTGGTGGTGGATGTGCAGAATGGGTGAGAGCCTGGGGAACCTGGACCTTCCCCTCTTCGCAGGGAGGGGGCTGGCAGCCCCTCTGCCGTCTTGCCAGAGCCCTGGAGGCTGGGAGGTGGGACAAGGCCTTCCCTCCTTGCCTCGGGACAGCTGACTGCTTCTCCCTGCCCTGCACCCATGTGCCCAGGCACCTTGGTTTGACCATGCGACGGTCAGAGTGCAGCCACTGCTGTGGCTTGGGCCAGACTCAGCCTCCCTCTGCTCTTCCATTTCATCCCCAGGTACCTATACTGGACGGACTGGGGGGACCACTCCCTCATCGGGAAGATTGGCATGGATGGCACCAACCGCAGCGTCATTGTTGACACCAAGATAACTTGGCCCAATGGCCTCACCCTCGACTACATCAACAGCCGGATCTATTGGGCCGATGCGCGGGAGGACTACATCGAGTTTGCCAGCCTGGACGGCTCCAACCGGCACACAGGTGAGAGCGCCGGGGCTCCTGGGGCGCCACCAGGCCTTTGTGGGGTGTGGGCTTTGCATCGGTCGTGGGAGCAGGAGCCAGGGCTGTTGCTGCTGGGTACGGTCCCCAGCTCTGGCCGCTCCACTGTGCCTCTGACCAGGGGAAGAGGTTTGTTCCCTGGCTGAGCCATCCCTGGAGAAAGGCTGCGCTGTGGCAGCAGTGGTGTGGGGCAGCCCCTTGCTGAGCCCCCCGCTCCCCCTTGCAGTGCTGAGCCAGGACATCCCGCACATCTTCGCGCTCACCCTCTTTGAGGATTTCATTTACTGGACCGACTGGGAGACCAAGTCTATCAACCGGGCCCACAAGACTACAGGAGCCAACAAGACCCTGCTGATCAGCACGCTGCACCGCCCCATGGACATCCACATCTACCACCCCTACCGCCAGCCTGATGGTGAGCTGCGGGGCTGGGGTGGCCCTGGTGCTGTGGAGCAGCCCTGGGCAGGAGGCTGGGGCTGGGCACGGGGGGAGGGGGGGCAGGAGGGGGGGCATGCGGTGAGAAGGGTCTTGCAGCTGGGGGTTCACGTGCCACCCTGAGGGTCCCCCGCCTTGGTCTGACTTGCCGTTGTCTCCCTGCTCTCCCCAGTTCCCAACCACCCCTGCAAGACCAACAACGCCGGCTGCAGCAACCTCTGCCTCCTGTCGCCCGGCGGGGGGCATAAGTGTGCTTGTCCCACCAACTTCTACTTGGGCAGCGATGGTAAAACCTGCGTCTCCAACTGCACAGCCAGCCAGGTAACAGCCTGCCTGCCCCTGCCTGCGTGGGCATCCCCGCTGCAGCGAGTGTGTGCCTGTGCTCGTGTGCGTATCCCTCCTGCCATGGTTTCACCAGGTCCCAGCTCTTCTGCTCATGCTGGTGCCAGCACTGGGTGCTGGTGTGCCCACGCCGGGTGCTGGTGTGCCCACGCCTTCGCCAGGCAAAGGCAACACCTCCCTCCTGTGGCACTTCCCAGTACATACAGACTGCAGTCGTCTGCAGGTGCCCAGGGGAGCCAGAAACCCTCCGGCTCTGCCTGACCCCCCTCCCTCCCTCAAAGCCCAGAGGCTGTGTGGGGTGGGCTCAGGGTTAAGGCTTTGCTCCAGGTCAGGACACAGAGTGTCCTGGGGCTGCCTGGGAAGGGACAGCACAGAGATCAGTGCCCTTGGCAGAGTTCCCTGAGGACAAAGCCTTCTGGGGTTCTCCCTCCCCATTCCAAGCCACCCACACAAGCTCCTTTCTCCATCACAGTTTGTCTGCAAGAATGACAAGTGCATCCCTTTCTGGTGGAAATGCGACACAGAGGACGACTGTGGGGACCGATCCGACGAGCCGGAGGACTGCCGTGAGTGCCACGTGGGGCTGACCACAGCCCACGATGTCCCAGCGCCCCGGTCACGCTGCCTGGCTCTTGCCAGCCCTACAGCCTGGCACTGCTTGTGCAGCTGGTCCCCCAAAGCCCTGCTGCTGCCCGGGCTTCGGGACAGCCCTGCTGCTCCCTGCTCGGCTCTGGTGGAGGGGAGGGTTACCCCATTGGCGGGGCTTAAAGGGCAGTGGGATAACGCGCTGTCCCTGCATGGGGTGTTGCCCCATGGAGGACAACGGCCAGCTGCTGCTCTTGGAGCAGTGCTGCCCCTTTGCTGCGGCAGAGCCCAGAGCTGGGTGCTGGTTGCTCCGTCCCTGCTGAGGACCCCAGAAGGGAAAGCCGGAGGTTAAGGTTTGCCCTGAAAATGTTCCCCAGAGCAAACATTTCACCCTGCCTTATTTGCCCCACAGCTGAGTTCAAATGCAGGCCGGGGCAGTTCCAGTGCTCCACTGGGATCTGCACCAACCCAGCCTTCATCTGTGATGGAGACAACGACTGCCAGGACAACTCGGATGAAGCCAACTGTGGTAGGTTCTCCACCTCTCCTCGTGACCCTCAAACCCCAGCAGGGCTGCAGCATCCCAGTAGAGCAGAGAGGCAGCGTGTCAGCTTTTGACCGTGCTGCCTCCCTTCCCAGATATCCACGTCTGTCTGCCCAGCCAGTTCAAATGCACCAACACCAACCGCTGCATCCCCGGCATTTTCCGCTGCAATGGTCAGGACAACTGTGGTGATGGCGAGGATGAGAAGGACTGCCGTAAGTGGGGAGCTTGTCAGCATGTTAGGGATGGGGAGCATGCACGGTTGGAGGCAAGTAGTTCAGTGCTGCATCAGATCCATCTCTTTGGGCATTGGCTTCTCTGCAGGCTGATTTCTGGGTGGTCGTGCCCCTGGGCATGGGGCTTTCTCCTTAACTCTGCTCTGCATAGAGCCTCTGCCCACCGTCACCCTGCTGCCACTACAGACACTTCTGTTTCCTAGTGGAAACGAAATCCTTAAATCCCTTGGAGTGGCAAGTTCAATATTTGCCATGGATTTGCACTGAGCCTGTTGCACAGTTGAGGGATCTCGTGGCTTCTGCCCTGTGTCCCTGCAGCTGGTCAAGTCTTCTGCGGCCACCACAGGGCTC